CGATCCCTGTTCCCGTATTGGTTTTGGAAGCATCAGTATACCAAGTTATGGTCTTTTAACTGCTGGGCAAGCGTTTCGCTCTTCCAATCCTTCTTATTGCTCAATACTACATTGACATGTTTGTCAAAGTTGTACGTTCTTGGCATATCGTCCACTGGGAGTTGCAGGAGTGGTATTTCCTTTTTGAGTCTCTTGGGGTAAGATACTTGTGGTAAATGAAACTTGGTATAATACCGTTTAAAAATTATAAAATACAGAAGCGGACATTTGCGGAGTTCTAAAGATACGCAATTTCAAAGTTTATTTTTTTTCAAAAAAACGCTCTGCTATGTTTGTGGTAACTACTAGCTTCATAAAAAAATATTTAAGTTAATAAAATTCTCTTAAAAAGTACTTACCTTGTTCTTCAAAATCTATTATAATTTAATTTATTTCCAAGTCTCTGAACTAAGAACCAAAATATATTAGCAACACTAAACCATTATCAGCAAATAATTGATATATTTAAACTACAAAATCTAACGAAAACAACATTCCTGTACGCTTTTTTATTACGATTAAAAAGTGGATCGTGATAAATTTGAATAAATGGACCCATCATCTGCTTAAATTAATATCATTGTTGAAATTTTCGAAATTTTTTTCTTGATCCCTATGCGTCGATTTTTTTGAATCTGAACCAATGTGCGTCGCTTGCAATTTTGTGAAACTGTGAGTGAACGAGTGGCGAATAATAATAATTTCCTATTTAATGTGTGTTTTTCGGATGAGTGTACTTTCTTTTTGAACGGTGTAGTTAATCGGCACAACTATCGGTACTGGGCTGAGAACAACCCCAGGGTTTTTCACGAGGTGCACAAACAAAACCCTCAGAAATTGAACGTGTGGGCTGGTATTTATGGTTTGGTTTGGTTTGGTTTGGGTCAGTTTAACGATATTGAGAAGAACTTCAACGCACAAGTCACATAACAGCTATCTAGCAACTACCGCACCTAATCGTTCAACCTTGTGGCAAGTGAAAAAATGCGTAAACATCTAGAAATAATAAGAAAAAACAGCAAATTGGTCGAAGGAATTTATCCTTTTCATTTACTCTGATAAATGTTTAAATAAACTTTTCAAATTTGAATCCTTCATATTTTCTCAATGACTCGACCGATTTTCAAAAACGAAGCGGGGAAATATAGAGAATAGAAAGCCCTTTTCACTGCAGTATCACTTGACCCCCCTTCCCATTTGATAAAATTTGAGGGATGACACCCCCGCTTAGAGGGTTAAAGATTTTGCAATCATTTTTGGGGCAAAAGTTGTCCCCCTCACAAACAAAATTGACGTGTTTTTGGATTTTTTGAAAAAAAAAATACCCTGGTCGTTATGCCTTGCGGAACGTTTTCGATGGGCCACCCTGTATATCGTTTACTATGCTCTCTGGAACAGCATGCGGCCTGTCTGATGGAAAGCCAAATCATCTGGTTAAATTAAATTAAATAAGATAATAATACTTTTTTTAACTAGGTGTTATTTATGTTCAAAAGTTAAATAATATTTTTTTGCCTTATATAGGAAAATATAATTTTAGAGTATATCATATTATCAGAAAGCCCATAACAAGGCAAATAATATAAAGAAATAATATACTGGGTATCTCATTTAAAAAAATAGAAGTCAGATTTCGAAAATGAGAACCATCAGCGAAACTAGTTAACATCGCTGGATTCTACATAAAAAAACTAAACGAGACTGAGTTGTCACCTTTTCGATAAGTTATAAGATAACCGATATACGATGGAATCGAAAAATGCAACATTTTAAAATTCGTCCTGTATTTTAGGAACTAAAAAGACTAGAACAACTCTTCTTCTTTTTTAATTCTTTAATTAATTAATTTTAAATGCGTTTATGGTGCAATAATTGATACTCAACTTTTGATGTATTCTCAGGCAGCCGTCCTGTATTTCATTTCTATTTTTATGTGCATTATTTCTGGGGTTCCAAGTTATTTGTTCTTTTTCATATAGGGGTAAAAACTCAGATATAGTCTTCTTTGACCAAAACATGTTGTCTCGAAATATGTAAAATATCAATTATTCTTCGAATCTCCGTTTTTCAATAGATATGGTAGGTTACATAATCAAATGTATCACATACCTACTGTGTTCAAAGTATACAATTTTTTGTCGTACCGGTTAATACCTGGCCGGCTATAAATCAGTTCATTTGTGATTAAACTAATCGCACTGAGGGGTAAATTGGTACCTATAATATATTGTCATAATCATCGGCAATTACCACCGCTAAAATTCCCGCCAATAAATTAGTATAGCTATACAAATTTTAAATAGCATAATTGCCCAAAACTTTATGAATTAATATTTCTATAGCTGCTGTAAAATTTAGAAGTATAAATTAAGTATCAAATACAATTATTACACATACATAAATCACCTCAGCAAAATGTATATAGTGCTTCTCACCCTTCTAGTAATAAAATTTAAAGAATGCATTCATTTTTCTCAAAGAGACCTGGTTCAAATTAAAAAAGTAGAAAAAAGACTCAAAGTCTCAGTCTCAACGTTTATACAATGTTAAACTGTTACACGTGTTTCGCTCATATACGAGCATCATCAGACCTAACAAGAAAGAACCTAAATAAATAACAAATAGCAAAAAGGTCATCATAACTTACAAATACAATTAAAATTAATCCAAATACACGTTCACATTTTACAATTAAAACAACACTGAGACGAGGCTGAAATGACCGGCAAATGAAATGAATTTGTTACACAGGCAATCACTTGCACTGAAAAGCACAGTCGTTTCATCAGCATATAATACTGTTTGTTCCTGAATAATGTGGAGCACCTCATTTGTATACAGTATATAAAAAAGTGGACCCAATATTGAACCTTGCGGTACCCCCTTTTCAATGATTACCTTGTTCGAAACTATTTTTCTCTAAGAAATTTGTTAGCCTAATATGTATAACATATTCAAAAACTTTACTAATACCCGTTAACAGAGATATGGGTCTATAGTTTTTCATTTCATCTTTTTCACCTTTTTTAAAAATAGGTCTAATATAAGCGTTTTTCAATTTAGTCGGAAAAACCCCCGAAACAAAACATGCATTAATAATGTGCGCCAAAGGTTCTGATATATCTGCCACTTTTTTTAAAACCGATATGGGGATTTCGTCATCACCAACAGATTTTTTATTTTTTAAATTTTGAATAGTGTTAAAGACTTCCTGTTTGTCGGTAGGTTTTAAGAAAAATGATTGTGATAGTTTATTGTTACGTGGCAGATTTTCAACATTATGAGCATCAATATCGGGACACAAATTGACAAAATATTTGTTAACGAACTTACAGTTGCATAAGGGCTGTCATATTTGCTCGAAAAACTGTCAAATAAGCTACTACTCACATTATTATTATTAGCAATATTATTAACTATTTGCCAAGTTGCTCTGGTCTTATTTTCAGCATTGTAAATAAAATTTCGATTAGACATTATTTTTGCTTCTTTAATAACGTTTTTTAATATATAACAATACTTGTTGTAATATTGAATGCTGACTTGTCCTGTAAGTTTTTTAAAGTATAAGACGCGCTTGTGTCGACATGAGATCTTTATTCCTCTTGTAATCCAACATCTTGATTTAGGAGTTGTATTATATTTTTTTGTTACAAATATTCTGTCAGAGAGAGTTGTGAAAATGTTCAAAAAACAATTGTAGGCGTCGTCAGGCAAAATTGAAGAGTAAACGGGCGACCAATCTATTCTGGTCAATTCGTCTCTAAAACTTTCAACACGATTTTTTGAAAAAGATTTTTTAAATTTATGTTGGCATTTGTGCTTAGTCTTTATATCATTAACTATCATGTTAAGACATTGAGCAAAATGATCAGACAAAGATGTATCTACAACTTTAGAATTGAAATGTACAAAATTTACAAATATATTATCAATAAGCGAAGATGAATCTTCTCTAGTTTTTTAAGGAAAATCTTGTTTTTTAAATTCGCTTGCAAGAGATTCAAATTGAAATCGCCAGCAATAACTATTTTAAAAGTTACATACTTTAAAGTTATACGTGACAAAATGTCTTCTAGTTTATCTATAAATTCGTCGAAAGATCCAAGTCCTCTTCTATAGATACACAAAACAATTAGTCTCATTTGAAAAGAATATACACATGCACATTCAATAACGCCTTCAACACTTTTTTCCACCACCCGACTTTCTTCCTGTAGAGAAAGATCAGTCAGTCCAAAAATACAAGTACCTCCATGGTTCATAGTTGTTCTCGTATATATAGATTTTAGATGATAACCCTCCAGGCGAATAAACTGAGCCTCTTGTGATTTAAGCCAGTGCTCGGAAAAACAAATAATGTCCGGCTTTATGTCGCTATTCAAGTAAATTTCTAAGTCGAATATCTTATTTCTTAAGCACTGAATGTTCTGATGAAATATTATACAAAGTTCACTACACACAACAAACTATTAATAATCCCCAAATTGTTAAAAAATTCAAAAATTGTTCCGCAAATATTTCAATTCAAATCATATTTCAACAACCACAACATTTTAACATACATTATGCAGCTTAGTATACTTGAAACGAAAGGATGTTAATAAAACCCACTGTGGAAAAAATATACAGCAATTCATTTAAAAAATACAAATTTAATATAAATATAATTGCTATTTGTATCCCCATAATTTGAAAAATATAATGGAATGAAAATCTCAATTAGAGAACCCGATATGGAGCTGTTTTGGGACGTTGGATCATCCTGTATGTACAACAAAAAGGTGATCAAATGAATTAGATTAATGAAGTCAAGTGGTTTTTAATCGTTTGTGTGTAAATCTAATATGCTCATATTTTTTTGACAGTTTTATGTAGTTTTTCATAAATGCATTAATGTAACGACACATGTTTTTCCAATATGTTTGTATTTTACTATATTATATCTTATTAAGTCTTACGTTTGTTAGTTGACCATATCCTTCTTCGTAATAGCTTTCGTTGTAATATGGATTGCTCTGGTATAAACTGTCTTCATCAGGATTTCTGTCACCATGCCTAAATAACTATACAAATTCGTATATTATTAAAATCGTTATTACAAATTTGCGTTAATATAATCTACAAGCACAATATTCTATACACCTACATAAAAATACAGACATAATATACAGGGTGAGTTTCCTACGATGTTCTCTATGGGTATCTCGGAAACTGCTGGAGATAGAGAGTCGATTAAATGGGGAAAGAATTGCAGTTTGGTGGGGTCATAAATATGCGCCTTTCAGATTTTTGAAAAAGTTCATGGCTTACTAAACATTTCGAAAAAAACAAATTTCGGCTATTTTAAAAATTGTCCCTAATTCCATTATAAGCTATTTTAGACAAAAAGTTTTCAGATAAAAGTTGTAGATAATCACATCCTTAATGAGATTGTTACCTCCGTTTTTTTCTAAAGCCTGTCATTTTTGACATATGACACAAACATATGTTTTTTTTTAAATGGAAACCATAGTTGGCCATGGCTTGAATGTTACGTTTTTTAAGGAACGGTTTTCAAGACAAGAAAAGTCAAATTTAGTTATAGCCAATTCTTATCTTTCTTGACTAATTATACTTAGATTGTATAAGATTGTATTATCACTTAGATTTCACTTAGATGGTATTCTATTAGGGTATGGTATTCTTATTCTGTTATGATTTATAACTTATAAAAAGTCAGAATATATTACTAAACGGTTTTTTACAATTTACATTATACAAACTAAAACTTAAAAAAATAATATCACTACATACACTTTAAGTTATTTTAGAAAAATCCATCATTGTTTTGAGTTGCATCTTTTTAAAACTGAATTACTACCTATTCTCACAGAAAGACCGGTCGACTTAATTAAACTTCTCTCGTACCGCCACTTCTTTCAAGTTCTTTTGTAAAACTTAATGTTAACCATACCGCATAAAAAAGCTAAAATGGATAGGTCAGGTGATCGAGGAGGCCCATGCAATTGGTCCACCTCTTCCTATCCCTGAGTTTGCATAATTATGATATAAATAATTTTTAACATTTCTTTCATTATGGGGTAGCTCATAATGAAAGTCATGTTGGAACCACTCTATTGATGCGCAAGTATCTACACGCATTTCTTCATTTGAAAAACTCATACTTTACAATTTTTGTTTATTTTAATTTACAATTTTTTGTTTATTTTAATTTACAATTTAAAGTTTGGATGTGACAGCTTCACATTTCTGAGAGCAAAGGCGATCGAATGAGAGACCAACGGCGCCGACGGTTTCCATGGCTAACTATGTGAAATTGTTTAAAAATGATAAGAATTGGCTATAACCCAGTAATTGTTCGAAGAAAACATATTATTTCTATCGCTAAAAAGCTTAAAAAATAGCGCTTTTTATGAAGTCATGGCCAACTATGGTTTCCGTTTAAAAAAACATATGTTTGTGTCATATGTCAAAAATAACAGGCTTTAGAAAAAAACCGAGGAAACAATCTCATTGAGGATGTGATTATCTACAACTTTTATCTGAAAACTTTTTGTCTAAAATAGCTTATAATGGAATTAGGGACAATTTTTAAAATAGCCGAAATTTGTTTTTTTCGAAATATCTAGTAAGCCATGAACTTTTTCAAAAATCTGAAAGGCGCATATTTATGACCACACAAAACTGCAATTATTTCCCCATTTAACCGACTCTCTATCTCCAGTAGTTTCCGAGATACCCATAGAGAACATCGTAGGAAACTCACCCTGTATAGTATTTTTTTGTTCTCAAAAGAAAATCAAGATTTAAAAACTTTCTATCAAAAATATATTAAAAGTTATAGCTTAACTTTAATCCAGAATATTTATCTTATATCATCTACATTGTTCCAAAAGTTGTATCATAAATATATGCAAGGTACTTGGAACTAGGAACTCTCAAGAACAGGCCCAGACGAAGTCGTCAATAACAACTGAACCGCAAGACCGCTTCTTGTATGCCAAATTGCTAGAAGAAATCCCAATGTTTCTCATCCAGAGCTACAAAGACAACTTCTGGCAGCTACAGGTGTTAACGTTTCAGTTGAAACCATAAGAAAAAGGCTTCGTGCTCGAAGGTTGTACAGTAGAAGAGCTTTCAACATCAAAACTGGACAATTAAAAGTTGACAAAATGTTCTTTTTTCGGGTGAGACCAGAATTGGTTTAAGATCAGATGACCATCGAATTCGGGTTCTCAGAGCTCCAGAAAGACCAAGCTGCCAAATCTGTACCAAGATATAAAGGAGGAACTGTAATGTTTTAGGCAGGTATTATGATGGGAACAAAAACTCCATTGTTACCACTTCAACAAACTTCAACGGATTGGACGTATGTTGATTTAGTGCTATTATAACGTCTGAAATATTTTCAATCGTTAGGTTTTGGAGAGCTGCAATTGAGGATAATTTTAACTAATTATGTACGGTAATGCACCTCCCCATATCAGCACAGTAGGTAGAAAATGTCTTGAAATGGAAGGTGTCACACTTTTGGACTAACCTGAATGTTCACCAGATCTAAACCATATACCGGGTGAGTTTCTTACAATGTTCTCTATGGGTATCTCGGAAACTACTGGAGATAGAGAGTCCAGTTAAATGGGTAAAGAATTGCAGTTTTGTGGGGTCATAAATATGCGTCTTTCAGATTTTTGAAAAAGTTTATGGCTTACTAGATATTTCGAAAAAAACAAATTTTGGCTATTTTAAAAATAGTCCCTAGTTCCATTATAATCTATTTTAGACAAAAAGTTTTCAGATAAAAGTTGTAGATAATCACATCCCTAATGAGATTATGTTCTCCGATTTTTTATAAAGCCTGTCATTTTTGACATATGACACAAACATATGTTTTTTTAAATGGAAACCATAGTTGGCCATAACTTCATAAAAAGCACCATTTTTTATGCTTTTCAGCGATATAAGCTATACTATGTTCTTTTCAAAAAATTACTGAGTTATAGCCAATTCTTATCTTTCTTAACTAATTTCACTTAATTAGCCATGGAAACAAGTTCAATCGTCGTTGCTCTCAGAAATGTGAAATTGTCGCATCCATTCTTTGTAAATTAAAATAAACGAAAATTGTAAATAAGAGTTTATCAAATGAAGAAAAGCGTATAGATTGGTTCAACTTTTCTTGGCCATACAGTTTCGAGGATACGTTGACCGGTGAACGTTATTTACGTTTTTTAGAGAACGGTTTTCAAGACATGTTAGAAAAGTTAAATTTAGATACTCGCGCATTAATAGAGTGGTTCCAATATGACTTTCATTATGACACACCAAAACCCCCCACAATGAAAGAAATTTTAAAAATTATTTATATCATAATTATGTAGACTCAGGGATAGAAGGAGGTAGGCCAATTGCATGGGTCTCCTCGGTCACCTGACCTATCCATTTTAGATTTTTTTATGCGGTATTGTTAACAACAAGGTTTACAAAAGAACTTATGAATTAAAAGAGGCACTTGAGGCGGAACAGGAGAAGTTTAATTAAGTCGACCGGTCGTTATATGAGAATAGCTAGAAATTCAGTTTTAAAAAGATGCATTTATGTACTCAAAACAATTGGGGATTTTTTGAACATTTTCTAAAATAACATAAAGTGTATGTAGTGATATTATTTTTTTAAGTTTTAGTTTGTGTAATGTAAATTGTAAAGAGCCGTTAAATAATATAGTTTGTCTTTTTATAAGTTATAAATCATAACTAAATTAGATCACCATTGAAACCGTTCTCAAAAAAACGTAAGTAACTTTCACCGGTCAACGTATCTTCGAAACTGTATGGCCAAGAAAAGTTGAACCAATAATCCCACACGCTTTTCTTCATTTGAAAAATTTTTGTTTTAATTTACAAAGATTGGATGTGACAATTTCACATTTCTGAGAGCAACGACGATTGAACTTGGTTCCATGGCTAACTAAGTGGAATTAGTCAAGGAAGAAAAGAATTGACTATAACTCAGTAATTTTGTGAAAGAAACATATTATAGCTTATATCACTGAAAAGCTTAAAAAATGGCGCTTTTTATAAAGTCATGGCCAACTATGGTTTCCATTTAAAAAAACATATATTTGTGTCATATGTCAAAAATGACAGGCTTTAGAAAAAATCAGAGAACACAAACTCATTAGGAATATGATTATCTACAACTTTTCTCTGAACGCTTTTTGTCTAAAATAGATTCTAATGAAATTAGGGACAATTTTTAAAATAGACAAAATTTGTTTTTTTCGAAATATCTAGTAAGCCATAAACTTTTTCAAAAATCTGAAAGACGCATATTTATGACCCCACAAAACTGCAATTCTTTACCCATTTAACTGGACTCTCTATCTCCAGTAGTTTCCGAGATACCCATAGAGAACATTGTAAGAAACTCACCCGGTATATGGTTTAGATCTGGTGAACATTCAGGTTAGTCCAAAAGTGTGACACCTTCCATTTCAAGACATTTTCTACCTACTGTGCTGATATGGGGAGGTGCATTACCGTACATAATTAGTTAAAATTATTTATAGCGCATACTGTTGTTCCTCTATTTTCACCGCTAGTTTGCTACGATAAAGCGAAAAGCGAGAAGCCGGTGTACTATGGACTTACCCTTATACCCATTTTTTCACGAACAGCAATAAAAATAAAAATCTATCAATATATCTAAACGAAGAACAAACAACGTAATGTATGTGGTCAACATTTACAGCTTGTTTCTAGATGTACGAGTATACTTACCACATGTACTAACTTTAAAGTGCTTGTATCATAACTAGCATGAGCTAGAGAAGCCAGAAGAGAAAATGCTAACCAGAACTGCAAGACTACCGATGCGCCCATTTTGCAACAGACTATCGCGTCCAATTCCAGACGTTATTTTATATTAGCTCATATCAATTGTGACTAAAATATTTTATTGGTACCTATTAATCAGATAATACTAGTTTATTGGTTTTTAATATATTTCAGTCTGTTTTAAAAAAATAAGTAATAACAATAAAAGCTGAGATCGGATATTGATTTAAAGCTATACCTAACGTAAAATTTATTAGTAAAAATAATAGTTATCTAAATATTATATACCTGTGACAGTACTATACAAACATTGAAAAATATAAAGTCCCTTATATGATTAATAATAGTCAGTGTAATATGCTTTTATGGCAGGTCCAATAAAAGGTGTTAAGTAAAACTCTGATTTCGGACTTGCCTTCAATTTAGTAAATTTCGCAAAGAAGAATCCTATTGAAACTACAAAATTTGGGACTTCCATAGTCTTTATTTATTTTGTTTCACAACATTTCGGTCAGAAATATCCCTGACCGTTATCAAGTATGAACTAATCCGTAGATTTCTTTAGATTGCTCACTCAAATATTACTTTAGGAGCCGTATTTTAGCGGCATCTAGTAGGAGAAGGAATAGTTTTCTGCACATTAAAGAAACCTATACTACCGACATCATTACCGCCTTTATTTGAATCACTGTTCTTTCTATTTTTATAATCAGATTTCAACTATTTAGAATCTCGGTCACATTTTTAAACCCGCATTTTTTGTAAAACACATATGGAATTAAAATCTGAAATAAGAGACATGATAGTATTCTTTTTCGGAACACTGGTTGGGCCTATATTGTGCCTATATATCGAAACTTTTTTCCGAAAAAACTACATCCCTAGTCCTGGACAACATTCCGCAACGTGGTCCATCGAGAGGAGAGAAAAAATGAAAAATGGCAACCCAGTCGAAATTAATGATGTTAACTGTTAATATTTCCACCCGTTGACAATATTTTCGCGACTGGTCGATCTGTTATATAAAACCGGTAGAGGTTTGAACGAAGTATCGATACTTGGAATTGTAACTTGTAACAACGCAGTGAATCGTGAAAATCGAAAATCGCTCTCCGAATATTGATGTGAATCAATAAAACGCGTATAAAATTTTGATTTTTCTTTCAAATTTTTGCCAATTAGTAAATAAAATAATAAAGATAAGTACATATAAGTAATAATTTAGTTAATTTGTTATGACTCTTTTTAATATGGGTATATGCCTCCCAAATTACATACGAGTCCGAATTTAACATTTTTATTCTTTGGCATTTAAAAGATAAATACCCCAACCGGTATTCATTATCTAAATTTAAAAATAAATTCTCTATAGTCATTATTCAGTAAATGCCTAAAATATTGTCCATTTACTAACTAGCAATACCCGAAACGAAACTGAAACTCATTTAACTTTTTCTAATTAATTTGACGGAAATTAGCATACATTTCAATAATTTAATTCATGGAGTTTTAACAAGGTAAAAGGTTCACTTAAAATACCTGACATTAAATTTTTCATATATGACAATTATTACACATTTATTGACAAAGTTGTTGAACTATTACAATGAGCAATTTATGACTAAATTGTTAAAGACAATATTTACTTAAAATCTCTAACAGAAAAAAAATATGATTAAATGAATTGTGATATTTGTCTTTTCTATTCAGATTTGTAATTAATTGTTATTTATTTTTATTTGAACATTAAAAATTTTGTAATTCTTTACTTAATGAGCCATAAAATGTGTGTCTTTAATTGTTAAAAATTCCTTGCTACATCATGTATTTTAAAGAAATTGGGTAGATAACTTAAATTATTTATTTTATGATTTATATTTTCTATAATATATTATTCAAAATTGTTAAGAGAATAAATATAACTTTATAAACATAACCAGTTATGTGTCTCAACAATGTTTAAGTTAATATATTAACAATGTAGAAATACTAATACTGTACTTTCTTCTCAAACTATTTCTTCTACATTTCTACTGCTCTTTATGTAACCTACATTCAATGAGTAATTCTATTTGACGAACAATATAAGCTTAATTTCGTTTACAAGTTCTAGTTAAACCTAAGTTTTGTTAAATTAAAAAACAAAACTTAGCACTAACTAGTAGAGCTAATAGCTTAAATTAATTTCTATTGAAAATAATTAGTAAAACAACACGATATTTACATTAAAAACATTTACTTAATAATGGTTATATATAAATATACATTAAAATATAATGTTTGTTTCGAAATCTTAAAAAAATAATACTGCATGTAAAAAAAGTTTTAGTTTTATCCGGATTAATGTCTAGTGAATAAAATTGCATATTTTAGTATTAGGTCTTCTCGTAAAGCTTATTATTTACCTTAGTATAATGTAATAAAGGGGTGCAAGGGGTATTGAAGCGATACATATAGCCTAGCTTACCCAAAAGTCAACCTCACCTTCACGTGGTGCACCCTGTTTACACAAACGAGGCTCTGACGTCCGAGTATAGGCGATATAACCTTATACAACCCTAGAAGACCTACCATCTTCTGGGGAAAAGGAGTAATAAAATACACCTAGCCGGCCGAGAACGTAGCACAAGGGAACTATCGTCGCAGTCCTCACTGTGCCATAGCCATCCCGTGTTACAGTTGCAGCTAAAACTGTGCGGCAGCGTAACCGCCACAGTTAAACCTTTTCACGCAGCTTACACACAGCAATGATGGAACATTCGAGTGGGACAAAATTATCGTCCGGAGGTAAAATACCCCCTCAATACTCGAGCGTATCATCGGAGAAACAAAAAACATCAATGTTTCACGTTCGCGATCAGAGAGAAGAACAGTACTGGTCTCACGGGAACTCCGCCGATTAAATATAGATGTTGCCACTCTAGGCGAAACACGCTTTGCAGATGAAGGTAGTCTCACTGAGGAGCATTACACCTTCTTTTGGAAAGGTCACCCCGCAACACACAGGAGAATTCATGGTGTAGGCATTGCTATAAAAACGAAATCGCCACCAAGTTAATAGAAGTACTTATTGGTGTCTCCGAGCGTCTTATGACCCTAAGGTACCCCATATCAGACAAAACTTACGTCAACATCATTAGTGCCTACGCTCGCACTCTTGACGCTAAAATTGAGGATAAGGATAAATTTTACCAAGCTTTACAAAATGCTCTTCAACGAATTCCAAAGCACGAACGAATCATCTTGCTAGGTGACTTTAATGCCCGTGTTGGCAAAAAAGGAACCGGTCGGTAGAACCGGAAAAAGTTTACCGGAACAGGAAATATGGCCTAACGTATTGGGAAAACATGGAATAGAAAACGTAAATAGCAATGGTGAACGCTTATTGACAACATGCGCAGAGTATAATCTTTGCATCACCAATACGTGGTTCATGTTGACGAACAAGTTTAAAGGTACCTGGAAACATCCTAGATCAGGCCACTGGCATCAATTGGACCTCATAATCGTTCGAAGGACGCTTCTAAAAGATGTTAGGCTCACAAAAGCTAGTATAGATGCCGAATGCGGCACTGACCACCGACTTTTAATTTCAAAAATGAAAATCCAGTTAAAACCCAAACATCCACGCTGTAAAAAGCAAAACATGACCAGATTGAACGTACGGGGTCTAGAGAACGACAATATCGCCGACGCCCTCCGGGAAGCCATCAAAGAATAACTTCCACCGATAACTTCAATCTCAATATTGGAAGCTGAACAAGGCTGGACACAATTAAGGGATGCGATTCATAAAACCAGCGAAGCAGTACTGGGAAAGTCGAACAAAAAGAAACAACCAGACTGGTTTAACGAAAATCAATCGCATATACAGGCTTTGTTGGAACCCTAAATATACGCTATCATAACTAAATCTACCTAGCAAATTTACTGAACGTTATATGTTTTAATTCATCATTAAAAGTATAATCTTCAGTTATAAAATGTCGATAAGCTTTAAAAATTTTCTCTGATGGCATATTGTCTTCTATAAATTTGTTTCAGCTGCGTATCACCGAAATAACAAACTCTGGCAAATTATTTTTTGGATTCGGAAAGCAAGGATCTTTCAGTCCGTTCTTCAAAGCACTTCGAAATACCACAAAGTGACGGCATGGTGAATTTTATTTCAGGCAGAACAAAAAGAGAAAGAAAAGCACAACGGTGGCAAATCGTACATTCTTAATAAACCGCACAAAAAATTATGAAACAAACTCGATAATTTTCGATAAACACATTTCTGATTTAGAAACAGACACATCGAATGCTAAAATTTGCCTTTGTTTACCTCTTTCACAAAATGGTAAACTAAAGTGGAGGAGGAGCAGAAAACAGGAAGTTTAATTACGATCTTTGTTCATATTTGAAATTAAGGTAGCGGTAATTTTTGGTGCGACCGGTGCGTCTCTAGAAGCGGGATAAGGAACTATAAAAGCTGCGCCGAGAGTGGAAAGGGCATGAACAAATCACCTATACACCACACATGAATAAATCTTAAAACTACTGATCTTATATACTACAGTCGAGCATTCGCCCGTGAAAAAGTTGGGTACAGTCAAGCATGAGGTTGCCCACTGATAATACCTGCATTGGAGCGTTTTATGAGTAGTTGCCATATTGTTGAAATTTTCATACCTGGATTGCTAAAGGTTTTATAATTGCTATATAATACGGCCTCTTTAAATTTGCGCTTTTTTCCAATGGGATTCTTTGTGGACAACCGGGCCCTCCGACAATTTTATGTTGTGGAGCTTTTGACCACTCATGATCTGCAATGCCGTCATTGTTTCAATCAACAAAAATATAACTCTCAACCCGTATAACTCGTTAAGAAGTGAAACCAAAAAACGTATTTTTTACAGAAATAGGTGGTAAAAAATAAAATAAGTTGAAATGAGTTGAGTAAAAACGCAGAGAATAAAAAGTTAACATATTTTTTCTTGAAAAAGTATATCATGTAAATTTTATTAGAAAAAATGAAGGGCGAATTTGATTTAAATATAAAAAATATTAAAGGGCGTTATAAATTATAATTATTATTATTATTTGTAATATTATACCTTCTTGAAATAAAT